CTTAAGCAGGCAGATTTGGCCTCCCTCTTCACCCTCTGACTGATTCTCAGCTGATCTCAGTATTGTGCTCCATCTGAAAATTTTTCAGCCTTCATCAGGCCATTGTTGGAGGGCTTTGCCCCCTTTTGGTTAGTTTATAAAAGTTATATTTTTCTGCGTACTCATGGAGTCCCCTGAGACACCTACCTATCTCCAGTTGTGCTGCTTTCATCATCCTTACAGGGGACACAGCCAATATAGTATTCAGTATAGCAACTGCTGGTTTTCATTTATGTAAAGCAGATGTGATAATAAAGGATTCTCTACCAAGCTTCTTAAGGAGTTCAGAACTGTTTGTTACCAATTGCTAGCAGTATGATAATAGCAGACTGTTTTCACTGTGTTTTGATTTTCTTGTTACCCCACTCTAGGACCCAAAGGCTCCACAAAGCAGCTCAAAACAGGACTACCTGGAATTCTAATATGAGCACCCATAGCAATCAGTTGATTCCAAATGCCTTCTGAAATAATGCTCTTCTAACCATACATCTGGGAACAAGCACGGAAAGAGACAAAAGTGCCTCCCTATCAAAGCTGGGAGTGCCTCTCCTGCATACCCACCCATGAAGCCTAGATAGTGGGGGGCACACAAAGCACAAATTCTTTAGATTACTGAAGTTTGCAGACAGGTACATATGGTCCTTGTAGTTAATACTACGCATGCTTACTAAGGACCAAATCTCATTGAACTCAGTGGGATTTACTACTGCATAAACATGTTTAGTATCAACTTGCATGATAAATGTTCTGTATTTTACCTCCCCCCAGAAAAATCTTTTGTAAATTGTTCTGCTGGGACTTCAAGATTTACCAATAAGACAAGATTCTGAAGAAAACTAGAAGTTTGCATGTGAAGACTCATCCAACAACAGAGATACAATGAACACTTACACTCATAACACAGGCATCTTTAACCCGGCCAGCTGCAGTAACAAAACATCCAATTGGAAATCCTGGATTACAATATTTCTGTCCATCTTCTACATCATAACACCAAGTCACTGGCATATTATCAATAATCCTGAGCAAAAAATTAAGGAAATCATTCTATAGTTAGAATTGCTACAAAATGCTATAAAGTAATGCATAAAGTAGTGCTATTTGGCACATTCAGGAACAGAACACTCATCTATAATTATACAGAAGAAATTAGCAGGGGAACTGTCATAAAAATATGGTTAGATTTTTTAATCATTATTCTTGTTTCCAGAGATCAGACATTTTAGAGAAAGTATTAACTCACCAGTGGTGCTGGTAATTCAACTGCATTCCTTTCTTCAAAAATGCCAGTTTACTTACGTCTTTGGCATTCTCTGGATTGTAAGATTTCATACAGACCTTCTTGCACGTTTCTGGTTTGTTAAAGGTAAACTGTAATAAAAACAGGCATGTTTCAAATTGTTTGCTCCATGCTGTTGAAAGCACTTTCATTCAAAACTGTACTTTTGTAATTGCCCCTGTCATCAACAAGGAATCTATCAGAATAAAACATTACATTTAGCAACCTGCATCTAATAGCCTGTAAATTATGTGCAGTTTTATTTTCTGTCCAGTGCTCTTTATAAGAAATTGGTGACTCACGCATACATACACCCCGTGTACAGAGGCTACTAGATTACAGTTGAACAACATGCAGCCAAAAGAGAGTGTTAATGTGTGTGGTGTTAATCTAGCATGCACAGGCTTCTGCTGGGATATAGGGGAATTTATATTTTCAAAAAAGGGTTTCTGCCTCTCATTCACAGGTAAGTTATACAATGGCAAACATACTGAAGAATCAGAAAACAAACAAAAAGTCATCAGAAAGTCCTTTTTGTTGTTCTAAGTCCATTTAACAACCACACTGCTTGTTGATCTAGTCCAGGAGTACCCAGCATGTCTACCAAAAAGCAGCATGACAACACTATTTTGTTCATCATGCTGGACCAGTTTGCCATCCACTGGAAATTCTGTTGTGTCTGGCTGAGCCCAACCCTCATCCTTCCCCATCCCACTTTATCTACCAGCACACCAATATCTTCACAGGTACATGGAACAGGTTTTTGGCACGCAGATCAAAAAGGATGCCTACCCCAGATCTAGTTCAGCCCCTTTGTTCCAACAGTGGCCAGCAGATGCTTTGAGAAGCTCATGGAAGGAGCTGGAGCAGCTGCTTTGCAAATGTCATAAATAAGTATACTTGATTCTGAGCCATCTCTTGAACTTCTCACCCATAAACAAACAATAATACTTTACACCATGCTAGAAGACCAGAGGAAGTTTCTGCTAATAATTTCTCATTTTATGCAGTTTCCTACCCAAGGGCAAGAACACACTGCCATCCCAGCAACACAGCACCCCCAGCCCTGCATGCTTGCAGATGGGACAATACTTAAAATCTATTTACAGAATGCAATGTTTCGCTGAAACGCTTGAACCTGAACGAACCCAATACACTTCAGTATTTGGAAGAAGGCTTTGCAGAGCAGCAACAATGCAACTGACTGACACAAAAGGCATTTAACAATATACAGCAAGAATGAACACCACAACAGGTCATCCAAATAGTGTCTAAAGGCTGCAATAACCTTGTAGGGGGATGAAGCTATTCTCTCTCCAAACAATACTTGTCCCAGGTTTTCTGACGGCCTTTTCTCAGTTGCATCTTGACAAAAGTCAAAACTAAGAGGGAAAAAAGAACTGTTTTAAACTCTGAGTTATGCTTTTATCCATTTTAAAATATTATTGCTACTGAATTATATGGCTGAAATTAGATTCAGGTGGGTAGCCATGTATGGTTGAAACTACTAATTCTTCTTCACATGCTGTAACAATGTATACCATGCCACAGATATGTTACACTAGCAGCCCTTCAAACGCTTTCAGGCTGTGCAATCTGGAAGCTTCTTGGATAGCTTTTACCCCTCCAAAATCTAAGCACTTATTTAAAAATACTGGGATATGTGTACTCACGCGTCATATTCATATGGTAGGACTGATTCTACAGAGTCCAGTCGGTTCACAAACAACTCAATTTGTGACTAGAAGAGTAGAAAAATCTGTTACACCTTGCATTTAATGAGACTGTTTTTTTAAAAAAAGCAATGAAATTTGAACCATTATGCACAGTGAAAAATGCTATACAAGTTATTCTTATGCTATTATCCTAAACAAGCTTACTTAAGAGCCAGTACGGCAAATCACTAGGGAGCTGGACTCAGGTTCACTCTGCTGTGAAACTCACTGGGTATCCTTGGGC